CCTGAGCAACAGTTGTGCACCCTCTGTGTCCCAGGATAAAACTCCAGGATCGCTCTGCTGTATCTCTTACTATCAGGGCTGAAGTGGTGGATCAACGGCTCGAGGTCTCTGACCTGAAGGTAATCCAGTGGAAATGTGTGATACTCCATTGATCTTTGATTTTAATGTGTACCTTTCTGCCCTGCCCCCTTGTGGTAGAGTTTATGAAAACGTTTTCTAAAAGCACGATGCTTTGCTGTTTACCAGGGGGATTCACTCGCCTGTCTGCGCTTTGGGCCGGTATATTTTACTTATATGCACTTTCTGTGCATTTAAATATTTTTTTCAGGCCCTAACAGCCCTCATGTCCACACCTGCTTCCCTGGAGTACAGGGGAAATATATCTACTGCCCCTCTAGAGTTTTCTCTTTGTACAAGGCACAGGGCATGGTCAACAAGATGACCTGGAGCCAGTTCCAAGCTTCCACATTTTTTGATGCTGAACAGAATAGATGGGCAGTGCAAAAAAAATGAATGACAGTTGTTTATATGTTTATATTTATTTTAAATGTCAACCCTGCACAAAGAATAAAAAATATAAAAGCCAGAACACATTTGACATTGTGTTTTATTTCAATTTCATTCCAAACTGAGCAATTGATAACTGTTATGTTTAGGATTACACTGCCATTTATATATGTTTAGTTTGTGTTTTATTTGTGTTATTATTTTTGTGAGCAAGTTGAATTCGTTTGTTCGTGGCCGTCAGTGTGGTCTTGTAAACCCGCCCGACGCTCACGTCCCTGAAGTCGACAAATGGCGGCTCAACTCGAAAACTGCCTGCGGCCATGATACGAGTCGACACCTAAGATCCACCTGGACACGTGAAATGTCAGTAAACTAATGTTTCCTGCCGGTGAAGTGAACATGGAGTCGTTTTCCTCCACATACCGATGCTCAGCTTTCTTGTTGCTGCACAGGTGGTTTCCAGGCAACGGCTGCTCTGCTTGTTTTACAACCCTGCGCAGTCCAGGTGGACGGAGCACGTGACACCACTGCACACTAAATCATGGTTTCTACTTTATTTAAGAAGGATCTGATGTTGTGACCAGCATCCAGACAACACAGTTTATCACTATTAATAATTATTATTCATGGTGCAAGTGTTTTGTCTGCAAACAAGCCATTTTTCAGCTTATCCCCTCTTCTTCTTCAGGGCTTCAGCTGTGGAAAACCATCATCCCCTACATGGATAATCAATAATACATGGTAATAATTCATTTTCTTATAATAAAGAAAATACATGTAAATAGAGTTATAAGGATTTATTCCAATGTATATAAAATGATACATTTCAGGATTAAAGCTCAAAAACAAAATCAGAGTGATTTATTAAACAAGAAAAAATTTAAGTACACAGTATGTTGCAAAATATAAGTCATACCAACATCTTGTATATGAACATAAACTTTGAATTACACAAATTATTCATTTTTTAAACAAAAATCTACAGTAATTTGAAAGTATTTCACAAAGCAGCAGCAGGGCTCTCCCATATTTCATCATCATACACATTCGCAGCAGATGTGATTTTATCTGTGGTTTTCAAACGGAGGCTGTGGCCGTTGCTGATGTCATTAAGGATTAAACCTCCTCCGACCTGCTCACCATTTGCGGCCGAGTCCACACGAGGATCATCTGATTGTTCTGAGAAAACCCGGTCAGTGAGTAAACCCTGGTCCTGACCATTCTGCAGCAAATACGGATCGCCAGATTTATTTGTTTCTAAACCCTCCTGATTGCCAAGGTCAGAGATTCTCTCCCCACCGGTCAGAGAGGGAGACTGGGACACGGCCCGGACTTCATCTGATGCCTTGTAGTGCCTCCCTTCACGCTCTCCAGCTGCTGTGGCTTGGATCCCTTCCCCGAGCTGAGTTCTGCTCTCAAGGCCGAAGAAGTGGTTGCGGACAACGTAGCGCACACACTGCAGGAGGACATTCCTCTCATGGCGGATATCTGGGGCGAGTAACTAAACAGAGTGATAAACAGAGAAGCTTATGGAGGCTCAGAGGAGCCATATTCAAGAATACATTTTATTTTGTCAATGTTAAATYGGGGGAAATATACTTGTATGATCTCAGATTGCATCCTTACCATCTCAAGCAGAGTAGAACGATGCTTCTGCAGCGCATCATGGTGTCTACCACCCCTTCCTCCTCTACCACCCCTTCCTCCTCTGCCCCCTCTTCCTCCCCTTCCTCTCTGGCTGTTAGGAGTGTACGGAGCAGAGTCAGGCAGGAGGGCTGAGTTTGTTAGTGCTCCCTGTGATGAAATCTCCATGCTTGTTTTGGGCCCTCTGTCCTGGGACTGGTGTCCTGGTGTGAATGTGTTTAGAAGAAGCTGGTTTTCTTGCAGAAGGTCTTTGGCTTTCTGAATAGAGGCGACTGAAACACAAGGGAAAGAAACATTAGAAGTAAGTGATGGAGAGTTGAAGAGTTTTTAGTGTAGCATGGTATTTCTCACTGTGTATTATATACGTAATCTGTCAAATCACTAACACACGTCACTGCTGTGGACAAGATGAACACTCACCCTCTGGTTCTCCATCACTTTCACTGTCACTCGAGGAGCCATAGTTTGCCACCAAGGAGCCCAGAGCTGAGCTCATCCGTTTAGGAGCCACAATCAGGCTGCCAGTCCTGGATTCAGCTGCTGGATCCTCTCTGTCAGAATCTGGAGGAACATGAAAAAAAAGAATTAGACAGTTTTAAGGCCTGCTCTTTTGTTTAATTTGGGACAGTTTCAAAGTTAGATGCCAAACTATTATATTTAAAAAGCAAAGGGCCAGTGATTTTATAAAGGAATACCCACTTGATAAACTCAGTCACCAGATCCCAGTCTGAGGGAGCTACGTTAAACCTGCTTTTATTTCAAGTTGAACACGTTGAAGCTCAGTCTGAGTCAGGAGAATAAAAAGTGTGTAACTGTCTAAATACTGTTGGGACTAAATTCTGCTTTTCAATATCAAACCTACAGCAGCTTCAATTAAATTCATGATGAAGACTGTACCCAAAATAAAACAGACTAATGAAAAGCCAGCCTCTCCGACAGGATCTAGTCTCCCATGTCTCCACCACGAGTTTCTCACCATGGTCACTGCTGGCCAGTGCCCCCAGAGGATCCCCGTCCCTGTGAGGCTTTGAAAGCAGTGGAGGTCTCTCTGTAGCTCCGCTGTGTGGTGGGTGAGGGCCTTGTGGTTGTTGTTCCTGGAACACTCTGTTACCCCAGCCACGACCTCGACCCCGTCCTCGTCCTCGTCCTCTGCCTCTCATTCGTCTGGGGATAAAATATTAATGTCTTGATTAAATAGTATAAGTTGAGATAAACATCCATATTAAATTTAGGCACTTACCCAAACTGAGCTGTCTCTAGAACACCTCCTGTCTCCTCCCGTGCCACCATCACCTTTTTCTTCTTTTCAATATTATGGAGGGTTGGATAGTTTCTGGAAATATTAATGTAGATGATGTTCAAATGTATTTATATCACAAGTATCCTGGATACTCATATATGAAGTCAATCATTCTTACTTGCGTCTCTCCTCTCTCCATTTTGTAATCTCCTCTGCTGTGTCCAGCTTAATTCTCTTTGTTCCTGGTGCATGGCTCTGTAGTCACAATATGAAACATGGATATTAGCAATAGACAACAGTTTTAGATTGAGATGCAGCATCAACACAATGTTGTTTCACTTACATTTTTCCAGTGGATGCTGACAATTTTCTCATGAGCTGTAAAGCTGCAGTCCGGCACCGAACACTAAATGGGACATAAGAAAATATCCGCAGGGGATACCTCAGCTGCATTTACAAGACATTTCTAGGACCCTGGGTTTTTGTGAGACGCTATCAGATGGTAGTGTTACCAATTTGGAGAACCAAGGAGTGCATTTCCATGTGAGTACTGAATGTGAACACAGTTTTATGAGTTTGATGTTATGATGTCTTGAATTGCTGAAACTGCAGCACTCCAGTGTAGCAGGAACATAATATTGGAAAATGTGTACATCATTATTGTAAGCATAATGAAATAAAGCATGAAGTCACAGTACCTTGACATGTTGCGACATGTGTTCATCATACTTGTCCTGGTTTTTGAAGCCGCGGTCACAGGTGTCACAGAAATGGGAATACTCTGGTTCTCTCTTATTTCTCTGCTGTGGGTTAAAGACAGAACAGTTCACCACTAGAGGTCAACAGTTGCTGTGCAACAACATCCTATCAAAGGCATGGCCAGAATTTCATGAGCTGACCTTTGACCCCTGACTGCTGGCAGGTCCGTGACTCTGTCTCCCACCGTGATGTCCACCTTGATGCCATTCACGGCCAAAACTTTGACCTGGAGACAGAGAGAGACATTGCAGCATAACACACACATCCCCTGGCTTTACACATCACCGTCAGTTTACTTGTCATTGGCAGTGCTGCTGTGCTCAGACTGTTAAAAAGTGTGTCATGTGTAATGTCTTCTGGAGAAACTGCTTTCAGCTTAGGCTTATCAAACATCATCTTGTTTCATATATGTGCAATCCTGTTACACTCGATCATCTTACAGGAGAGAACTGGACCTTCCCTGGATGGAAATGAAAGGACCAACAACATTAACTTATGTATGTGGTACGCACCGTAAGGACGATTAGGTCGACCGTGTGCACTGCCCGATGCCCCGGGATGCCACCCCGCCTGCTGTCCCCAGGAGCAGCTCTCCGTGGGCGTCTCGCTCCAGCTCCACATGCCGGGCTGGAAGCTGCTGGAGCGGGGCTGCTGCTGGAAGGAGTTCGGCGGAGGACTGCCGAAGTCCGGAGGAGGATAATGTCCGGGTTCATTCATCCCTCGTCAGTGAAGCTTCTGAAGGTTTCTCACTTTCTCTCCACGCAGGTCACACATGTGCTTGTTTTGACCTACGTCACTTCCGCGAGAACAGGAAGGCGATACAAGAGGGAACGAAAACCAAAGTAAAACGAATTATTAAAGATGGTTGTCGAGATTTTATTGTGTAAATTTCACTTAAAATTCTCAGCTTCAACTTTGTCTCGACTGTATTTCCTCTAAATGCGAACTTTTAAAAGCCGGTGAGTGTGTGTGTGTGTGTGAGAGAGCGAGAGTGACAACTTCTCGCGAGAGTAACATTTATGGGTTGCCAGGTTAAGAGACAAACCCGAGTTGAAATTATTTTCCGTCAGCAATTGGTTTTTGATTTTTAAAAAGTTCAACAAAAACCACTCAACTATTTATGTAAGTTTAAAATGTCACAAACCAAATGGGAGCTTTTTGATCTAAAAAAAAACAACAACCACCCTGTATTGCTTTAAGATATGTGTGTGCTTTATTTAAAGTAAATAAACATATATTTGTTATTTACAATAATTGTCAAAACAGAAACATCACAAACACACTTATTTCTATTGCTGAAACTCAATCAAGTGTGTGGAGCGTCTTTATTAAGCACACATATCAATGATCACACGATCGCGTCTGATACCGGGGGATGTGGTGTTAGTGGACCTGGCAACCCAGCAGTTTCCTGGTGCCCTGTCTCGCCGCGTGTGTTTCAGACGGAGTGGGAGCAGCAGCGTGGAGAACGTGGGGAACGTGGACGGTTCCTGCGCAGAGAAAACGCTTAAAGCTTTCCGAGAACTAACCGAGCCGCTGCCAACATGCTCGTGTTATTTGAAACAGCCGCTGGTTACGCGATATTCAAGGTTTGTTTTTTTATTTCCTCAGTCAAAGCGCTTCTTTTACGCAGTAGCTACTTGAGCTAGCTTGACTTAGCCCCGCCGCTAGTTACCTCATGCACACTCACTTGCTCGAATTATTATTATTGCTCATGAGCAAACTGAATGAAATAGTCTTAATGTGTTCACTGTGTGAATGTGCTGATTGAAGTTGTTTTGCTTGCTGAAGCGTCTGTGCTAACCCACAGGTTAGCATTAAGTTAGCTTTCGTGTGGGCCTTGCAACCACGTGTGCACACTGAGGGCAGCTTCAGCGACTCGACTGCTCCCAGAACAATATTCACACACTTAGTAGAATTGTTGTTGGTAAAGTTCACAACGATTACAAAGATCACAACATAAAGAATTACAGTGAGATTGACATTAGTCCTAAGTTTTAAAACATGAACTTACTCATGTTGACTTGTGCACAGATCACACTATAAATCAATGACAGCTAATTTAAAGTGTGTTATTTTCAAGGTCCTCGATGAATCCAAGCTGCAGCAGATCGACAGCCTGTACAAGGAGTTTGAAACTCCTGAAAAGGCAAATAAAATGTGAGTAGCAGCTTAAAATACAGAAGCATCAATCGAGTTGTCATTGATCAATGGTTTATATGTGTATCACTCACAGTGGATGAAGTATGACCTCTCTCTCATTGTTTTCGCCCTTGCCAGTGTGAAGCTGAAGCACTTCGAGAAGTTTCAGGACACAACAGAGGCCTTGGCAGGTAAGGTCACACGACGTCTCTGTGCAGTACATAAACCTTCACATTAGATCTGTGGTCTGTGATTTATTTCTGTGTCTGATGAAAACATGAGGAATGTCACAGTATTCGTCACTACCACTGAGACCACATTGTCCAAAAATAGCTAAATTATTACAATTCAGATTTTTGTCATTAATGACAAGTATACTGCAATTATTGATATTATTTTGTGGCCCAGCCCTAGTTTTAGTTTTGTTCATCATTTAGATGGTTCATGGAGGTGTCACAGTCTGATGCAGTGTTCTTAAACCCTCCCTCTCAGCTGTCACTGCCCTTGTTGAGGGAAAAATTGGCAAGAGTTTGAAGAAGGTGCTGAAGAAGGTGGTGGCCAAAGAGGCGCACGAACAGCTGGCAATCAGCGATGCAAAGCTAGGCGGAGTTATAAAAGTAAGTTACCCCACATTAGAATTTCATTCAGAAATGAAGCGTTGTTTTCAGGCTTATTTGAGTCTAACAGGCTCTGGTTTACAGGACAAGCTGGACCTGAGCTGTGTCCACAGCCCTGCTGTGGCTGAACTCATGAGATGCATCAGGAGCCAGATCGAGGCTCTCGTCACTGGACTTCCTCCCAGAGAGATCAGTGCCATGTCTCTGGGGTTGGCTCACAGGTTGGTACCTCGATACAATGTTATGTTAACACAACTGCTGCCTTTGATTACACTTGCTGTCTGAAATAACCCTGTAGATTCTTATCAGCATTCGTCACTACCACTGAGGCAACTGGCTTCCCCGTAATTTTTTAATCTGTTAATTGTCAGTTTGTTAAGTAACTCATCAATGTTTTCTGTTTTTAGTTTGTCACGCTACAAGCTGAAGTTCAGTCCGGACAAAGTGGATACTATGATTGTACAGGCCATTTGTAAGTTATATTTATTTATATTCGATGTGAGAACACAAACAATACAGATTTGGTTATGTCGGCTACTAATGACTATTTTCACATTGATTTATACAGTTATTTAACTGTTTGCTCTCTAATATATAAAGAAATGGTGACTAATGTCAGTCATGATTTCCACATACTTAGACTGCGTGTGTATTATAGTTACCACAAACTATTAAAAAAACGTATGTGTATATTGGTGTTTTTGATTAAAAAAGCATGATGAATTGAATAATAGTTTTACCTGTTTTAATGAAGTCTGACTTTCTTTGTGTGTCTTCAGCTCTTCTGGATGACCTGGATAAGGAGCTCAACAACTACATCATGCGTTGCAGAGAGTGGTACGGCTGGCACTTCCCTGAGCTGGGCAAGGTCATCACAGACAACTTGGCTTACTGCAAAGCAGTCCGCAAAATTGGTAATTGGTTGCTATAACTAACATCATTACTATTCAAGGCGGTTCTAAGTTCATTTAGTTTCACACTTCCATAAATTTAAGAGGCATGCATGAGACAGTTAAATACAAGTTTTAATCCCTGGTATGGTTCAAGCTTAAAAAATGCTAGATCCTACACTTCCCAGCATGCAACTCATTAACACAAACTTAACATTGCCGATATTATTGATAAGCAGTTAAAAATGTTCTGGTGTGTCTGCAGGTGATCGTACCAACGTGGCCGGCTCTGACCTGTCAGACCTTCTCCCTGAGGAAATCGAGGCCGAGGTCAAACTGGCTGCTGAGATCTCCATGGGAACCGAAGTGTCAGAACAGGACATTGGCAACATAAGGCACCTTTGTGATCAGGTGCGCGACCGTATTTTATAATTACGTGTTAAGCTGAAGTGACAGTTGTGATGATGACGACAGTTGTCTTTCTCCTGAAACAATCCCATGTGGGTTTTCAGTCACTACCTCATCTGAACTGTCACGTGCCACGACTCTCTCTCTTTACTACTGCATAGGCCTGTCTCCTGATCTGATTGTTTATCTGGTGGTAGTTGTAATATGGATCTTCCCTCATTTATCTCCCCTCAGGTGATTGAGATTTCAGATTATCGCACTCAGCTGTACGACTACCTCAAGAACCGAATGATGGCGATCGCCCCCAACTTGACTGTAATGGTGGGTGAGCTGGTTGGTGCCCGTCTCATCTCACATGCTGGTAAGTCACTGAGAATCACCTGCGTGAGAAGCAAGCAAGCAGTGATGATGATGACATAAAGTCACTTTCCTGAAAACAACTGATGGTTTTAAGTCACTACCTCATCTGAGCTTGCCTTAAAGGCTCTGTGTGCAGGTACTAGTGAGAACATCAGCGTTTTACACGTCTGTCTTGTTGCTGGTTTTTTTTACTAAGGTTCTCTACTGAACTTGGCAAAGCATCCGGCCTCCACGGTGCAGATCCTCGGAGCAGAGAAGGCACTGTTTAGAGCCCTGAAGACCCGTAAAGACACACCCAAGTACGGTCTCATTTACCATGCCTCTCTAGTGGGCCAGACAACTGCCAAGAACAAGGGCAAGGTGAGTTAAAGAAAAAGTTAGACTTAATAAGGACTTGTGACCCTTGTCCGGGGCTGAGGAAATAAACTCTTGTTTCCTGACCAGATCTCCAGAATGCTGGCGGCTAAAGCAGCACTGGCGATTCGCTATGATGCCCTGGGAGAGGACACAAATGCAGAAATGGGAGTAGAGAACCGTGCTAAGCTGGAGGCCAGACTGAGGCAGCTGGAGGAGAAGGGAGTAAGTATCTTATTTTAACCCAAAACACAAGATCAACATTGAGTTGCACCTGTCGTTGGATCTGATTTTAAGATCTTGTCTCCTCCACAATTTCTTTTCAGATCCGAAGAATCAGTGGAACGGGCAAAGCAATGGCGAAGGCAGACAAATACCAGCACAAGAGGTGAATAGTCACAAAGGGCTCTTCTCCTGTGGTTATATTCTGTATTTCCACATGTGAAATTGCTTAAAACACACTTTTTTCTCTTCACAGTGAAGTTAGAATTTATGATCCATCTGGCGATTCAACCATACCTTCCACCTCAAAGAAGAGGAAGTTTGAAGAGGTAGAGGAGGCTGAAGAACCTAAAACGCCTCTGGTCAAATCCAAAAAGGCCAAAAAGGAGCCAGTAGCAGAAGGTGGGTGAAGCTAACCCTTTGTCTCAATATCAGCACGGGCTTCACGATTCTAAAATGTGTTTTGACTCAAATGTTATGTTTTTTAGAAGAAGCAGAAACGTCAGCAGCAGCGGAGGAGACTCCCAAGAAAAAGAAGAAAAAGAAGGACAAGAAAGCAGACACTGGAGCAGAGGAACCAGAGGAGGAGGAGGTAGCAGAAGCAGAGGTGAAAATATTTTTTAGATGGTTTGTTAAAGATTGGGGAAGTGTTGCACTGTTTTTATTGTAATGTAATGTTTTTTTTTTTTAACCATCCAACTTTTCTCCATTTCCAGTCGACAGAAAAAAAGAAAAAGAAGAAGAAAAAGAAGGTTAAGGAGGAGGAGGAAGAAGATGACTGAGAACAATTAAGATTGTGTGTATATATATATTCTGTTAGTTTTTATGCCATTTTAGTTTTAGTGTTCATTTATATCATTTTGAACTGATTTGTTTCTTCACAAAGATAATTAGATCAACCTTTTATAACTGAGTGAAGTGTGGAGTAACTCCCATCATGTCCAGTCATAAAGTGAGAAAAATGTAAATCTATTTT